GGGAAATTATGAAAACCCATGATGTCATTTTCGCTGACAGGCCCGAATCTAGCGTTTGCCGGCGGCTTCTTTACGACATGAAGGATTTGTCAGTTGCCCCATATGGAGAATACTAGAGGCAATTGAAAAGCATATTTGTACTCCAGCTTTTGAGTAACAAAAAGGTATTGTTCTATTTCCCGTGTCCCTCTTAGATCATGATTGACCCTTGCTTCTCTTCTTTTGTACAAGAAGCTGTTTATTTTGGCAATACCACTCTTGATACTGACGAAAATAAGTAAAAAAAAATGTTATTTTTACTTTATTTATTTATTTATCGCCGGCACCAACTGATGGTGGTGCCATCGACCGGCGATGGGGCAGTAGTATATTTGATTTTTGGGTAAGGGGATTGGGGAAGATTGAAGAAGGAGATTGGTTTTATTTTGTTGATTTTGTTTATTTTTTATATTAAAATTATAAAGTTACCATTTGACCCTTGCCTTATTTGGTCAAAATTATTAAAATTTTAATTTTTGAGGACAACTGACGATTTTTTGGGGCAAAATGACGAACACCGTCAATCTGGACTTGAGCTGTGAATTGTTTAAAAGTTTGGTATCTATGGTGGCACAAATGAAAGGTTTGGACAAAGTTTGCTATTAAATGAAATATTTGGTATCGTGGCTGCAACTAACTCCCATTTCTACAAATCTAAGTGTTAAAATAACAAATGTATAAGGATAAATGTATATTTTGAATGATTCCTACATTTTGAAAGAAGACAAGAGATGTATGATATAATATTATAGGATATCACCTATATAAGTGTGAAGTGAGCCCACTTCTACGAGAATTTGAAACTTAAATTCTCTTGAAATACTTACAAAATCAAGAGTTGTTCAGGCCAAAATGAACACAATCATGAGAATCGAAATTGTTAGATGAGTTATGGTGTTGGTACAATTGTTTTAATTTACACGAATGTTCGAATGGTTCAAGACAGTTCACCAATTATCTTAGCAAATTAGATTGTATTCAACTAAGGTAGGTACAAAGTCATAAACCACCTATCATGATGCTAAACTTGTCGTATGTACTCATTTGTTAAAGTCTACATATCATTTGCATTTTTGGATTACATATTGTGAAATTTCCATTCATGTGGGGGATTGTTGGAATTGGTTAAGTATAAACCATGGAAAAGTGACTTTTGTGTCAACTTCGACTAAATATTCGAACTTGATTTGATAGTCAAATTATGAAAATAAATAGACAACTTGTTCTACTTGTCGAGTAGATCTTCATGGTATATTCGAAAGCTTCAAACCAAATCTGGGTAAATGCAAACTTACAGTCTAAAGTTAAAAGGAAATAGAGGAAACTGGTGAAAATTTGTCCAACTCCGTCAAGCGAGGAGGCTGTCGCTCGAGTGACAGACGAACGACATAGTCTCTATTCTTGACACTCGAGCGACAGGTTAGCGACAACAAAAGCCGTGACCCTTGGCAAATGTTGTTGAATTTGGGGGCCGATATTTCACTCACAAACTTTCTTCCTATATAAGTTAGACCCTTGTAACGTCCATTTGTTCATCCCAATGATATGCAATCATAGCATAACATTAAATTCATCTTTTCCTAACCTAAATTCTACATTAAAAGCTGTTTTTTTTCCATTTTCAGTTAAGGAGTATAAAAACCAAACTTCGATTCGTTGTTCTTGTATTTTCAAGTACTACTAACACAAGAAAATTGTCTTTGTATGTTGGAGTTGATTGTCATCATCTGTACGCACTGTTACGAAGCAAGCAAATTTGACTCAAGGACAAATATTTCAACTCTTGCCTCGACTTTGCATACATTTCTTTTTAGCGTTACTTTGATATTCATTTTAATTTGATATCCTTACCGTTACTCTGTCAAACTTTGGTAAGGTTGGTAAGTTACTTCGGTTTAAAGTCATCACTCAAATCTATCATTTTGGTCAACACAAAAAAGTCTGAAATCCGACGGATTATTGGAGTACTTGTTTCATGGGTGGATAATCAGCCTTTCTCCTGCTTTCTTCTTCTTCTTGCTTGGCAACACCGTCGCTTGTATGGTGGTTCTATTCACGATCTTAAAATCGCACTACTGCACCCTCTATGAAACGCGAGGTTCAAAGAATTTTTAAATAGACCAAGGGAAGAAATCGACCTATGCAAATGTAACGATCAAAGAAAAGTCTTCAACTAATCACAAGAATAAGATTTCCTTAAGAAATATCAGCCCTAATACAGTAAACCAATCCAAACAATCGAAATAGTGAAAACTATGAAACAAAGAAGGGTTAATACAACACGTCTCCATCTTTCACTATTATTATGAAAAACATCTTTACCTTTCATTTTTGACATTTTCACCCATGTTTTCACATTTCATTACGCAAAAGGTCATTTTATCAATTTTTTAATTAAAATTGTGAAATGACGAATGTACTATTCTCTTTAAATAAAACAAAAAGAAAAAGAAAAAATCAATTACAATCATAGTCTTAAATTTTTTAATAAAGTGCAAATAAGTTCGAAATAAATTATTAAAAGGGTAATTAGCATATAATGTCCATATCTTTCACTATTAGTCTATTATAGAGAAAAAATTCATACTTTTTATTTTTTTGACATATTCACCATTAACCACATATTTGATAGCACAAACCATCATTTTTATCAATTTTCATCCAATTTTCAATAAAAAGTTGTAAAATGATGAATATATCTTCATATTAAAAAAAAAGAAAATTAATTTTTTAATAATTTATTTGGGACTCGTTTGCATTTTTTTTTATTATTTTTTGATAAATTTAATTGGGACTCGTTTGCATTTTAAAAAAATTCAAAATTTTTAATAATTTATTTAGAGCTCATTTGCACTTTTTTTTTAAAAAAAATTATTTTATAATTTTTTAATAATTTATTTGAGACTCATTTGCACTTTTAAAAAAATTGGAGCTATAATTACAATTAATTATTTAGCTTTTTTGTTTAATTTGCAATTCATCACTTCATAGCTCTTTATTGAGAAATTGAATGAAAATTGACAGAAACGATGGTTTGTGCAATCAAATGTGTAATTAAGAGTGAAAATATTAAAAAAGAAAAAGAAAAAAGGAAAGGTATGAACGTTTTTCTCAATAATAATGAAATGTATGGATATTATGTGCTAATTACCATTTGAATAATTTATTTGAGACTCATTTACTTTTTAAAAAAAAATTAAGACTATGGTTGCAATTAGTTTTTTTCTTTTTCTTTTTGTGTTATTTAAAGAGAATGATATATATTATATTCGTTATTTCATAATTTTTTAATTTAGAAAATGAATGAAAATGACCGCTTCACAGTAAAATGTGAAAATAAGGGTGAAAATATAAAAAAAGGAAGGTAAAAACATTTTTCACAATAGCAATTAAAAGTGGGGGACATTTTACGCTAATTACCTAAACAAAAAATAACTCGGACCCCACAATAAAATTACAAACAGTTGATTCCAATATCAAATCCGCTTACGTGGCACCAAGTTTCGTTCATTTATATCCAACCTCAATACTAACAACGAAGTATCAACTACTCAGAGATAAATAGAAGAGAGAGAAAAAAAGTATTAGGGTTTAAAAGAATGGCAGAAGAGGGGGATAACGGCGGCGGTGTGAAAACGGGTACCGTGAAGTGGTTCAATGATCAAAAAGGGTTTGGATTCATCACTCCTGATGATGGTAGTGAGGATCTGTTCGTCCATCAGTCTGCGATAAAAACTGAGGGTTTCCGAAGCCTTGGCGATGGTGAGAATGTGGAGTTCGAAGTTGAGTACGGCAGCGATGGCCGCGCTAAGGCTGCCAACGTGACTGGACCTGGTGGGGCTTCTGTTCAGGGAAGCACCAGAGGCTATGGCGGTGGTAGTGGTGGTGGCGGCGGCAGCGGCGGTGGGGGAGGCGGCGGAAGAGGTCGTAGAGACGGAGGCGGTGGTGGTTACGGCTACAACGGAGGCGGTGGTGGCTACGGCTACAACGAAGGCGGTGGAAGCAGAGGTGGAAGCCGTGGAGGCGGCGGGTATGGCGGTGGAGGGTACGGTGGCGGAGGAGGTGGTAGTGGCTGTTTTAAGTGTGGTGAGTCTGGACATATGGCTAGGGAATGTCCTCAGGGAGGCGGTGGCGGTGGAGGCGGTGGCGGTGGAAGATATGGAGCTGGAGGCGGTGTAGGTGGCGGAGGAAGCTGCTACAACTGCGGTGAAGGTGGTCACTTTGCCCGTGAATGCCCCAATGCCAACCGTTGAACCACTGGGTTTCTGCCGTTATCTCTATTCTGCTTTTGAGTCAAGTACTATGGTTTTTAGGTTTATGAACTGGTGATCCATGTAATAATTGCTTTGTTTTTGTTCTGGTTTTTGGGGTCTTTTTGTTATATGGTCACCTTCTCTATCAATTTAGATTAGGGTTTTAATCTTATTTTGCTTGCTACTTGTCTGGTTTAATCCGTAATCGAATCGGCTTTATGTCTGTTTTTTTTTTTTTTCCTATCATAAATTGTATACATGTGTATGCCTATACATGTTACTATTTAATGAATGAACTTTTATCCATCACTCTAATGATCTCTACATTAATGTGTGTGGCGTTATTCATCTGCAAATACTTGTAATAGGAAAATAGCATTTATATCTGATAGCTGTCATTTTCTTGGAATTGATCTTTTTACTTTTTGTTCAAAAAGGCTGGCATTGGATTGGTTCTTGACCAAACGTACATATTTGACACCAATCAATCCATCCGACGGTGGAAAAAATTCGCATGATTTGCTCCTCAGTCTTGTTTTCTTGGCATAAAATAAGGAAACGTTCAAGAACATAAGTTTTAGGTCTATCTATTATTTTTGGGGATTTGAGCAGGGTTTTCCACTAGAGTCCCAAGTGCATAAAATTTTTAAACTCAAGGCCAGAGCGTTGGGCTTTTGAAAAATAAAAAAGGGGAAAGTTGATATATTAGGGATTAGTTATATAACTCATTTGAAAACTGAAAAACAAGATTTAAAATTTCAAAAATTAGATATTATTAAAATTTATTTATGAAATAATTAACTAAAAATATATTTTATTAATTAAATATATTAAGATTACAATTTCATATAATTTGATCATATATTATTGAATCAATTGGTCACAGATTATTTATCGATCATAAATCACAAATTTTATAAGTCACATTATTTATTGGTCACAATATATCTATTTCGTTGATCATATATTATTGATTGGTTACTCATTAATCAATCTATTAATCACAATCAACTAAACAATTTCTGACCACCACTAACACTTGTGACCACTACTTCACTATTATCTCTAGTCGCACCATCGTCAACACAACCACCTTTCGACAACAACACTACAATATCAAACAAACCAGCACCCACCATTATCAACTACAAAACCACCATTGCTACTGCCAGATCCACCACCACTAGGTCCACCGTCAAATCCAACAAAACTCACCTCAACAACAAAGATATACCACCGTCGTTGCCGCCACCAACAAAAACCACAGATAGCCCATTGGATTCTCACTCACATAAAAGAAAATATCGGAATCTCACACAATCACAACCAACACCAAAAATACAACCACCTGTGACTAGAGAAAAAAATGGAGGAAACCCGATCTGCAGCACAAATTCTCACACACATCAAAGACAACATCAGAATCTCACATAACCACAACCACCTGACCAAACACCACCCAACAAACCAACAACCACAACCATGTGGTGTTTATGTTGGTGCACACTAAAAATGGAGGAAACCTGATATGCAGTGGTGCTCAAGTAGCGACAACCGGTGACAGCGCTCTTACAATGTCGCCGTAGTAGGTGGTTAGTCACCAGAAACGGATCCAAAATGGGCAATATAGAGAAAAATGAGAGATGCCATAGAAACATCCCTACCATTGTGGTGGTGTCATCGTCGCAGGGCTCTCACAATGCCACCGAGGTGAGTAGTTTATCGTCGGAGAAGAGATCAAAATGGGGGAAAGAGAGAATGATTTGTGGTGGATTGATTTAATTAGTAATATATTTATTTAATACAATATTAAAACTTAATTATAATCTGAATTTTGAAATATGAAACTTGAAATATGGTTTATGAAATGCAAACTTTAACGGTTGTGTACCGTGTAATTTCCGCAATAAAATTTTTTTTTATGATATCAAATTTTTGAAAAATTAAGCCCCCATTTGGTGCACATTTTGAAAGTAAGAATGCATTTTTATTGTTGATTTGATGAAAAATATGTAGTTGAAAAAAAAAGGAAAAGTTATTGATGTGATGGAAAATATTATCTTATTGAATAATGTGTGGTTGAAAATGAGTAGAAGAATGAGAATAAAAAAAATAATGTGGACCAAGCAGGGCCTAAATGTTGTTTATGAGATTTGGATTGTTTAATTTTTAAAAGTGCGAATGATTTTTTTGGATCAAAGAGCGGAGTCCTTGTTTGGTGAAGACTAAAATCAAATTTTTAGATGATTTAGATGAAAATTGATCAAATGTGGTTGAAAAAATTTTGGGACCTATAAAATATGTCTTTAAAATTAATTATTTACTTTTGGTTTAAATTTAAATTTAAATTTTAACCCATGTTTTGGTTCCATTAATTCTAAAATGTATTTTTCACTATTTATTTTCGATTACACATTCCCAAATAAAATAATATTATATGTAAATTTAAAAAAAAAATCATCTATTTTTAACCACACATTCTTTAAAAAATCACTATTACAAAATATATTTTTTCCTAAAATCTAATTATAATGGAGCGGCTTACTTCTTAGCAAACAGGGACTAAGAAAATTGATTTATGCTAGCGAAATTGTTTGTACAAGACGCAGAAGCAGAAGTTGAGAAGCGTATCCTTAAATTCTCTTTCAAAAGTTGTTTAATTATTTGAGGTTGTCTTTTCGATGAATTGAATACAGAAAGATTTCCAATTGGTTGAACCCTACATGGAATCAAAGAATGCGTAGAAATCAAAAGATGCCCAACAAAAATTGATATCTATGTTATGAAATTGGGTACCTTTTAATTAATGGGAAGAGCCCTAGAATTGCACATATTCTTGACCTATGGTTGCCAGAGTAGATCCCTGCCCCGCTGCTCCCCCACCCTGCCTCCCCACCTTAGATGGGGCGGGGTGGGTTCAGCGCGCTGGCTTGCCCCGTTTATTTTTTTCTCAAAAACTTTCAATTAACTATTTTTTATTTTTAATTTGTAGTTAATTATTATTTTTATTCTTTACGGGGCGGGTTCGGGACGCTTCGGGGGTTGGGCACCCCCTCTCCGCCCCACCAACCCGTGGGGACGGATTTTTTTGCCATCACTATGCCAAAGGAAACGATTCGTTCGTACCCCAAATGTGAATAATGCATTACTAGTCGAAGACTCGAAGTCTATTAAGAGAATTTTCAAAGCAACGCCGGTAACTCTGAGCGTGGAGACCATAAGTGAGTAAATTGTAGAAGCTTTGCCAAACATGTCATGAGATTACGTCTACTAGATTCTAGATTTATTTATTATTATTATTTTATTTTATTTTTCATTTTGGTTGTTAATATCAAACTTTCGGACTCATCAATTGAAGAAAACCTTGTGGGGGTGGGCAATGACGGATACAGATATTTTAAGATAGAAAGCATGATCAAACCTGAAAAAAAATTTGTGAAAAATATAAAAATATCCGATATTTCATTACAATTTATATAATGTTCCATAATTGTACCAACAATCGATTTAAACAAGAAAATGCCAATTTACGTTTAAAAAATTTGTTCATAACTTATACAAACAATCAATCTAAGTAATTGGAAAGAGAAATATACAACCAATATTCAGCCCTTGTTTGGGCTCCATTTTAACTAGTTTTTGGGGAAAAATGTATTTTGAAATATTGATTTTTTTTTTTTAAATGTGTCGTTAACAAGAAGGAAATTTTTTCAAGTTTGCGTATAATATTGTTTTATTAAAAAATGTGTAGATAGAAAGAAGAAAGAGAAAAATATATTAAAATTAAAATGGAACCCAAACAGGAGGTCAATGCTAATTATCAATTCAAATAAATACAATTTAATAAATGTATGCTAAATTCATTCAGAACCATTCTATATACGGAATTCAAAAATCATTTCAAACTCATTCTAAATCAATTTGACATAATTCAATATATAAAATTCAAAAATCATTCAAGAACATAAATTGAACATAATGAAAACGCATTTATTTTTCATGAATAATGTCAGTTTTCCACCCAAATTTCTACTTTGGAATGTTTGATTGCTATTTCTTTCCATTGAAAATATTTCCCAATTTTTTGAAAATATGCATNCAAATCTTAATTAAGCTCCCCACCCTATCCCACCCCACCCCACCAACCCGTCGAAGCGGGACGGCGCCAGGACAGAGCGGACAGGTTTTTTTGCCATCACTATTCCTATGCTCATGCACCAGGTGTAATTTTTTAGTCCTTTAGCATTTTATCTATTTTTCTCTTCTTCTTTTGTCCTTTTATGTGACTCCTTTTAAGAAAATAAGTAAAAATAAAATCTAAATAAAAAAATTGCTGGGGCACATGACCCATCGTGCCCCCCACCCCCTTCCGCCAATGGGGTGAGGATGGGGGATTAATGAAAATAAAAGAATATTATTACATTACTTTTAAGAAAAGGTCTCCAGATGTTTCATATGCAACCTACCCCATTTCTTACATTGAACTAAATTGAACTCAAGAGGGGCAACAAAAATGATTTTAAAAAAAAAAAAGGTCAAGGGCGGTGGGGATGTGTGAGATTGGCTGTGGGAGGTGGCAGAGGAGCCGTGGCATTGAAGAAATTGGGTGGCGAAGATGATGGTGGCAACTGAGGAGGGCATTGGTAGCACTTGGTGAAAAGTCCAAATGTGTCGATCTGGTGTACGAAGTTTATCATGCTCGCCCATCCGCCAAATCCAAAACCGACGATTAACACCCACACAACAATAAAGATGTTGATAATACAAGTCCCGACCCATCTCCCAACGTACTTGGATGGTTGATTCACTGCGTTCTGCACCAACACATTCAATCAAATGGTTAGTATATTGCATAATCGTGTGCACATAACAAATATATCGTTGTCATTATTATTCTATTCGATTCATTCTTAAACATATCAAAAAATGTAAATCATGAAAATCATTTATTGAAAGATTTTTGGAGTACTCTAATTAGAAAAAAGAATCTCCTATATATTATTATGTAGTGGGAATCTCGTCCTTGTGCACCATGTATAAGATCATGTACTATATTCATGTAAAGCAACGGTGTAGAGGATTTCTGCCCTCTCGCCCAAACCTCCAACAAAACGTACTGTTGGAGGCAGGGGCAGAGCCTGCCCGTCGAAGTAGGGGGGTGCAGGGGTGGGGGCAGCGCCCTCGAATTTTTTTTTGAAACATTATCTATTAAAATGAGGGGAGTTGGTACTTTGTGATGGAGAAAGGAAATAATTGAACATAAATTAATGTACATTATGAACAAAAAAAAAATCAAAAAATGTATAAAAGAAAGTACTAATATTTAATTTAGTAAAATCATACATTATTACACGTGTTCCTTTCGAGTTTAAGTTTTTTGATTGATAGAGTTTAAGTTTTTTATTCATTTGAGGANTTTTTTCATTTGAGGATAAAATGGTAAATACAAAAAATAAAATTTTAAAATAAAAAAAATTGGGGGGGAGGGGTGTCCTGGGGGGCGCCTCCGCCCCTGGTTGGAGGCTTCCAATTGACCATCAAATAAGAAAAATAATTTTTTTTAATATTGTGCAACAAACATATTATCGAGTAATGACTTGGACATACCTCTCTGGCTGAGGCAGATCGGAAGGTGAAAATGTGAGCCAAAGCCGGGATAATGTAGACAGTGAAGCTAACAAGAAGTGATCCGACAGTGGAGTTGATGGGGCCAAAGAATGGAAAAACAATAGCCAAGAACCATATGGGTATAACTACCGGCAACCTTGCAGCTGCCCGCTTGCACAAACTCTTGCACTCGTGCATCCCTATAGCCTTTTCCCACACAAAATACAACG